ATTTGGATGGTTATTGAATCTTTTGATTTGATGGTTGAGTTATAAGGTAGAAAGAATGAATAAAAATTTGGTATTGGATAGTTAGTAATTGGTAATAGTTGAGAGAATCCTGAAGTGAGTGTAGAAATTTCAAAGAATGATGATTGTTGTAGAGAGGTTTGTTGGGAAATATATAGTGATTGGTTATTTGTATAATATATTTGATAAAAGTAGTGAAGGTTTGAAGATGAGGGTGGTGATATTAGTTTAATTGTATTTAGGAAGGTATTGATAAGAGAAAGATTTATGTGAGGCCAAGTTTGGGTTATAGTATTAGATTGGTTTAAATGTAGAGTTTGAGTAAACCATTTTGGCTGACAACCTTTATTAGGTTTATTTGTGTGTAAGTAGATATTGTTCTATGTGAGAATATTTTTGTTATTTGCAGTTGTGATTTGTTCTAAAAAAATAATTTTATTATTTCTAAAACTATTGATAGTAGACATGGGTGGGTTGACAGGAAGGATGTCAAAAATAATATGAGTATTTTTTGGTATTGATGACAGAAAGGGTATAATTTGTGAGATTATTGAGGGTAAAATTTCATTAAAGGCTAGTTGGAAGAAGTGGAAAAGTAGAGTGTAATTTTGCATTTTTCGATAGTAGTTAGTTAAGGTTTTTGGTGAAAGTTGAGGTAACTATATTTTGGTAAGCCATCCTTTAATTCGTTGGATACCTATATTTTTAAGGATTAATAGTATGTTAAATATTCATTCAGTATTAGCTGCACTAACTTTTTGAATGATGTTGTTAAAGGTTGGTAAATTAAAGATGAGTGGATTAGTGAGAATTATATTGTTAGTGTTTTTTGCTAAGAAGAGCATTTTTTTAATATAAATAGTAAAAAGCCAAGAAAATTTGGTTTGTGTATTTGTATAAACTGGAATAATTTAAAGTAAGTATTCTAATGAAGATTGCAGAATTAGATTGAAGGATGTTAAATAAATTAATATTGATATTTAATAAATATGATATTACTTACCTCTTCAAGTACATTACATATAATTTAAAATCTGTTCATCTGAATTTTTTTTATTATTAATACTACTAGGTACAAAGTCATTTTTATAAGTTTTAATAGAATAATAATCAATAGAAATTTTTTTAATATTTATATGAGAGTCTTGAAAGTTAAAAATATTTTAAATTTTATTATTTCTTATTTTAATAATTGGATAGTTATTATTCTGTTGCACCTATAATGCTATAAATAAATAATAAAACCAATTAACAATTTGTAAAATATTTTTACATACTTTTTTAAAAAAATTACTATTTGCTTTATCAACTTTAATAATAAAATGCTTGTATAAAAAATCAACTTAAAAGATATAAATAAAAAGAGCAAGTTCAGTTTTTCATATTTGTGATATATTTATTAAAAAAATTAACTTATTTTTTTTCATGTATACATCATTCTTTTTGAACTCTTTTTTCAATAAACTATATAATAATTTTGTTATAAAAGACAAATTCAGTAAACTTGTTAGTTAATAACCTTATGAATAAGAATATTATATAAATGGTTAATGCATGTTCAATAAAACTTATGCAAATATTCATGTTTAATATATTGCCAATATGACTCAATAATTATTGTCATCTTAATATAGTTAATTTTATCAGTTACTGTTTTTATTCATAAAATACTGTATATTTATTATAAGAATACTATTCAAACATAAGTAAAACCAAAGTTTAAATAAATTATAATCTTGATAAAATTTATAAATCTCAATAATTGATTCTTTTCAAATTACTTTTGAATTTATTATAAATTCTCTATTAGGTTTCAGTAATAACATATGATAATTGTAGTGTTGATCAACATGATTAATTACATCATTTCAAAATTATAAAGAACAAATTGTATTTATATTTTTAGCTTGAACCTTTCATTTTGGATTAATTTCTAAACATTTTTGATTTGTAAAAATGAGATTATAATTGTAATTTCAAATGTTTTTTGATGAACATAGTTTTTGCTTTATAATATATTAAATATGATATACACATAGTTGCAAACAAGATTTTAGTCATACTAGTACAATATTTATTTTACAAAATGTCTTATCAACAAGAACAAATAGAAATATAGTTAATTGATAAATTTTTAAGCTATTCATCTAGTTAATAAGTATTTCAGTAATATTTTTATTTTTTTTTGCTTCAATTAAAAGATAACTTAATAAAAACTCTGTTTCATCAACTATATCCATTAAAACATATAATTTTCACTCTATATTATTAGTGTTGAATGTTGAATTAATTTTTATTGCCTCAAACTTCTTATGTGAAAGTATATTAAAAAGAATAGTTGTAAAACTGAAAGCACCAACTGGAACAAATTAATTAATAATTATTTCTTGTTTGAGCTTGTTTAATAGTAAGTATGCACATTTTAAAGAAACCAAATCACATTGATAAATCTTTTTGAATTCAACTGATCACCAGTAATATGTTTGTTGAACACTTAAATAATCATATCCATCAATTCTTTTTTCCTGAATTAATCACCAGAACTCAAGACACTGAAAAATTTATATTATGCTGAATAAATTCATGAATCTCTTTTGTAGTTTAATTATGTATTGGTTATAAATATAAGATTGAATATAAAAATTCAACTTTAATTAAAATGCTATCTATTTCAATCTCAATTTGAATTGTACCCTTGCAATCATATCAGTTAAGTTGTGTAGATCTGTCTCTTTGTTTATTAATATCCAAATTTTTAATGTTGAGTTTACTAAGTTCTATTTAGCAGTTTCACCAATAAATTAATTGGGTTTTCTTTTTATTTAAATTTTTGGATTTATATACCCAATGATAACCATCCCCTTTTTCTATATGTGATATTATCTGATGACCTAATTGTTCATATTTTGTTGACTCTTTATTTTCTAAATGAATATCAAAATTTATATAAAACTCTAAAGTATCGCTTGTCTTCATAGTCGATAACCGATTCGCTTCTAGCTCTGATTTCTTTAATCTGAATTTGTTCTAAAGGCTTTTTTCACTTGTTACGATATTTTTTACAAGTTGCTACTTGTTTTCCTTTTTCATTTACATAATTTTCGTATGGTTGTTTTGTATGACATGAACAACAATCGATTTTTTTTTACTTCCATATTAGATGTTAACGTTAAAGATTTTTTAATGTAAAAATATTTTTCAATATATATTTTTGTAATGTACGTAGATTAATGGTTAGATACTCTACGTTGTATATTAGAAGGCAATTAATTTACACAGCTCAATTTATGGACAGCTCATTTTACAAATGGTTCATTTTATGACAATCGAATTACCAAACTGGTCGTCTTGATAAAACAATTTTATATTGGTTTATATATTATTGTCTACAAAATGAACCATCTGTGAAGTGAACCATCTGTGAATTAATTAATTTTACTTTAAAATGAACTTGTCTATGAATTGATTGTCTATGAAATGAGGTGTCTGTGAAATGATTTCTGTGAATTCGTTGGTCACTTTCCCGACGTCCATTTTTCTGAAATACCATTTCACCGAAGTCGTAATACCGACGAAATAGGTTTATCATTTCACTGAATATCAATTAGCCGGCAAATTTATTTCACCGATAATCATTGTTGTTAGGGTTAGATTTAGAATTAGAGTTAAGGTTAGTGCAATTGTTAAAAAAAACATGTTGGTGAAATGATCTGTTAGTGAATAATTGTCAATGAAATAAACATATAGGTTAATTGATTTTCGGCATCACGACTTCGGTGAACTGATATTTCAGAAAAATAGATTTCGGGAAGTTAACGATTGGTGATAATAGATAGGACTGATCACTACGTTTATGATTGGAATTAACCTCGAAATTAAACGATGCTGGGGCCTAGGATTAACTCTACAAACTTTGTTCTAATTGATCTATCTCATTTTTCAATCTGTGATCACACAAAACATTATTACTATTTTTTTTATGTAATTAAATTAACAGTTTCGGCATAGATTTGATAAAACAAATGTTTATAGTTTATGCAGTATGTAAATTCATCTGCACCACCGGGAAGCGATGTTGTTTCATATATAGATTAATTTAATTAATTATAATCGTGGATCTCACATAGTAATTAGGACTAGACCTAGGACTTTTAATATTCGATAATTGTTATGTGAGATAGCATTTAATAAATTCTATTTTGGGTCTGGCTCGAGGTGAAGCATAGATATCGAACAGTATAAATGAAGCTCATAATCATGTATCGTTAGCCATCGTTAGCAATAAATTCCAGCAATAGGATTTTGGTTCTCTGAATTAGTTTCACTGAGTTTTCTGTTTTATTGTGTTTTGGTTGTGAGGTTGGGTGATCTGGAACTGCTCACCATATTGTATCAAAGACATAGAAACAATTACTAATTCATGCGTTTATTTACTGTTGAATTACAAATCTACTTTTTATTGAAATAATGAACGCTCTAATTATTTGAACTATGAACTATACACTGTTGAAATTGTAATCCACTTACTGATGCAATTACGAACTTACTATCACAAATAAATCTATTATTGGTATTACAAACCTATTTACTATTAAAATTATGAACCAACCAACTCAATTAGAATTACTATTTACCTACTACTACTATTGTAATATCAAACCTATCTCATAAATATACATTGCTGAAGTCACAAATCTACATGGGTTTCATTCATTTCACCGACAGCTTAGTTTATCGGTAATCATTGAACTGACAGTTAAGTTAGAATCAGAGTTAAGGTTAGCGTATCATAAAAAAACTCATTAGTGAAATGAGCCGTCAGTGAAAAAAAGTAAAAAAAAAGAGGAAGTGAACAGAGAAAGACGAAATGAAAGAAGGGTGAAATTAAATTAAGAATTTAAAAAAATAAGAAAATAATAAAAGTTAAAAGTGAAAAGTAAAAAAGAAAAGCAAAAAAAAAAAGTAAAAATTAAAAAAAATAAAAGTTGCAAGAAAGAGGGTTAGGGGAGCCAAAGAAAAAAGGTGACAGTTCGATCAACCGTCCCCGGTTGATCGCCTCACGTCGGAAAACCTGCATGCAAACCCCGTGAGAACCTCAACTTAGTCATTCTCGCGTTGGTCTCTCAGAATCATTTTTTTTACTTGGTTATGCATTCGATATTAATTGTCAGAATTCTGTAATCAAAATTTAAATACCGATTATGTAACTGATCTTGATGGTTATGCTAGGGTCATTATAATCAGGCTGAAATAGAGGGAGCGGAGTGTAAACATTTCTATGCTCTACTAAGTTTGGTCGATATTCGCCTCCCGCCATATGATAAGATAAATCTTTATCTCCTGTAAAATTTAGTTAAAAAGTCAATAAAAAATAAGAGAATTAATAAAAGCCAATCATTAATTTATTGCGTCGATGCAAAAACATAAGCATAAACAAAAGGCTGCAAGAAATGATGCCAGAAGAATCAAAAAGGCAAAATATTCGAAAACTTCAGGATAATATTGTCGAAAAAGAAAATACAAATCCAAGAGAAGAGTGTCATAAATAAGGCTCCAGTCCTACGAAACAGCGCGCCGTTTTATTAGTTTATTATTCTATATAGCAATATCCGTTAGTATAAAGTATAGTGTTAAAGCAGATCAAAAAATAAAGTTGGCATTTTCATCAGAAGCTTTGATAAATGATGTAAAATAAAATAATAAGATTCTAAAAATTATTAGCAAAACCAGTATAATTTGCCTAAGCATAAGAAAATTTAGTTGTAAGCATTGCTAAAAGATGCAAAAATGAGCAAAGGCTAAAATCATGCCTAAAAAATAAGAAAGAAAATATTTTTTTATGCTACTCTTGCAAAATAAGTTTCAAAGCATTCCCAAATATAAAAAATAATAAAATTTTAGTTTCAAGTAAAAGTTGCAATAGATAGAATCCAGATTCACCATGAAAGTTATTGTTGGAATTAATATCACAGCAAGTTCTTTAATTACAAAATATCTTAATGCAGCCAACTCTCTCTATTCCGAATAGCCCGTTCCTATATGTAAAAATACAGTTCAGTTTTCAAAGAGTTATTATGTTTCTCATCCGAATTTAAAATTTATAAGTTATATTTATCCTAAATAATTTAGTAGAGAATATTATCAAATGGCCAATGGCAAATTCACTTAATTCATTATTATAATTACAAATAAGGGTCCAAAATGAAATAAATACAGATAGTGGCCAGATATTTGAAATTTATTACAAATAAGGACCCAAAATAATTCACACTTAAAAACCTATGATTTAGCCCCGTTTCGATTTCGTCAACCCATTATTTACGCTGTAAATTTATTTCATTGAAATTCTTATATATATTTCTTAAAACCTGTACATAAATGTTAGATACAAAGTTACAGATCGGTATGACTTTTACAAACTTGGAAAATGTTCACTCGGCTTGGACAGTTATTCTATTGAATTCTAAGTTAAGAACGAACAAATCAAGTAAACTATTATTCTGTTGAATTCTAAGTTAAGAATGAACAAACCAAGTAAGCTGTTGACTGTCTGTTTTGCAAATGAAACAAGTTTATGACCTTTTACTATTTCAGCTAACAAGCGTAAAGATGATCCAACTTGTCAACTTTCGTGGATACATTCAAAGCACAAGATATAGCAATACTTCGACCTTGTGATTAGGGATGGGAATCGATTTTATAATTGAATGACTTAACCGATTAATCGATTAATCGGATAAAAAAATTAATTAATCGATATAGACTTTTTATAATTGATTTATTTAAGTTAATTAGGCATCTTTGATTAAAATATATTATGTTATAAATATTATTATATCATTTTCTAATAGATTTAATCTGTTATATAGATTAATTTAATACTAATATTGAATATAATTTATTAAATATAATATTTATTTATAAAATTATTATTAATATAATACAATATAATATGTATAATAAATTAAATATAAATAATAATATAATATATAATTTAATATATAAAAATAATAATATATAAATAATAATATAATATATCATATAATATATAAAATAGTAATTTAATTTTAAGAATTTGGGTTTATATTTTTTTTAGATTTTTAATTTCAAATTTTTTTTCTAATTCTTAAATGTTTATTTTTTAAATTTTTATAAATTTAAATTTAATAAATATATTACAATAAATAATATCCGAATTGTATTAATTTTTAAATAAAAATTGATTTTATTTTTAAAATCGATTACTTTACCAAATCGATTAACATAACCGATTAATCGATTTTTAGTTTCAAAATCGATTATTAAAATTGATTTTAAAATAACCGATTTTCGATAATCGATTCCCATCCCTACTTGATATTAAAAATCTTGTTCGTTCTAAAAGTGGGAACCGAGATATCATACATGATAACTTGGAGAAGTAAACTCATTAGGCCACACAAGGCTAATTTTTCATTTTGCATCACATGGATTTCAAAAATCCGGTCAGTCGGTCGAAATTTTATTGTCTTTTTTTTTTTTTTTACAGTCAAACTCTATAATCACACCCTTGGTTTCAAGAATTTTGTGCTTATATAAAGGTTAAATTTTATATACATTATATGAGTTGACTATAAGCAAATGAGATTATAGAGGAAATGGCTATAGAGAGGTCTTACTGTAATTTTAAATAATGAATGATAATTCCAAAACACCTACTTAATCATGAAATAAGACAATTAATCATGATACCGTTATGATAAATCGGTTAGCAATTTTGACGATAGATTTGGACCTTTATTTGTAATAATTTTTTCGAATATTGGGCCTTTATCTGTAATTATTTTTATTTGGGCCCTTATTTGTAATTATTTTCGTCTTTGGGCCCTTATTTGTAAATTCACCAAAAAAGTTTCGCCATTATGTGATCTTGTTAAAAGTTGTTTCGTAATTAGTTTAGAGTTAAGCCCCACCAGTAGGTTAGTGTTTGATTTAAAGGATTATAATTTTAGCAAAATTTCATGAGGTAACTTTTTGTTAATACACAGAAGGCATTTTAATAGGCAAACTTTAAGCAACAAGCCTTCCGTTGTCATTTGATCTTTTTTACGCTTCTTTTGCGTTACACATTATCTTGAAATCAGATTTGCCAGCGAAAATTTTATATTGACAAGTTAACTACTATTATTCATACCCTTGCATCTCCAAAATTATCATAAATTTTGGAAATGCAAGGGTTTCTCAACCGATCGTGCAAGGACACAGACTTTTGGAAAGCCCAATTTCTCCCAAACTTTGATTGAACCATACAAATGCTATTTATTGATTGGATAAAATATTTTAACCATTCTTCGCTTATCAGTCAAATTACAAGATCATGCGTAACGAAAAAACGCAAAGGTTCAAAAAAATCTCCAGTAGCTCTAAATTTTGCCTATGAATCACCTCCTTTATGTCCTAATAAAAATATTCCTTGCAATATTTTAGTATTAGTTTCTACTCAACCTTAATACTAACTGCAATACTACATTTTGCTATTTAAAATGCATATCGTACTTGAAAATTTTAATAGTATCTTGATCAAAAATCTGATGTAATCCATTTCGTCCAATCGGATGAAGAATTTCTAAGTATCCAATAGGAACTTGAGGAAAATTAGTAAATCCAGAAATTTGAAAACAGCGTAATTATTAACAGTATTTAAGTTTTGACCGATCCATTATTTCGTATAGGTATATCAGTGCACAAGTTTCCGAGTGATGTAACTTGCTTTTTTGTCGGCAATATTTCTTTTAATTGAAGGTTCAGATATGACAACTAATGTAATTTGTTTAACGTAAATTTCCGACAGATGAAAAGTTATTATTTTAATTAAACGACATTCACACCAAGTTTTGTGTTTTGATGTGTATTTAACAATATTTAAACTGATTTTTACCAGTACAAATTCGAGTTACGTATTGCTACCAGAATGGCAATACTTCCATGTATAGTAAGAAGAGATTATAAGGTTTCACGACATAAGTTATATATATCGGTGAAAAAAATCCGTCTATCATTGTACGTACGTACGTATGTAACAAATTAATTCTTTTTAAAATAATGATATTACCAAACGAATGTCTTTTAGAAATATTTAATAAATTTCAGGATGATTATTCAAGTTTATTTTCATGCCTTCTTGTAAACCGTTTATGGTGTAGAATTATTGTACCAATATTATGGAGCAAACCAACCAATTATTTTAGTGACAGTAAACTTATAAGAATTTATCTTTTAGCATTAAATTCTGAAGAACAAGCTCTATTAATCCCCTTTAAAATCATTATTCCAAGTCATCCAAAACCATTATTTGAGTATACAAGTTATACTGTGTCAGTTGGAGTTTATTTAGCCAGTGGGATTAAAGATTGGCTTACCGAAGAATGTAATGTAAATAGATATAGAAACTCAATGTTCATTGAAAATGCTGTTAAATGTTCTTTGGTTGCAATGGTTCTACGAACAAGTAAAAAACTTAAATATTTAACACATTATTTTGGTTATTTTGATTTTGAGGGAATATATGTAAAAACATTAATGAATAATATTAACAAAAACACTTCTTTGACTTTTTTAAATCTCTCATCAAATCAATTTGGTTTTAAGGGAAGAGAAGCACTAGCAGAAGCTCTTTATAACAACTTTACTATAACCTCTTTAAATCTTTGTGGTACTAATATTAAAGGAGGGAAAATTTTAGCTGAAGTTCTTTGTAAAAATAGTACTTTGACTGATTTAGATATTAGCCTTAATAATATTGGTTTTGAAGGAGGAAAGGCATTATCAGAAGCACTTTGCAAAAACTCTACTTTGACTTCTTTAAATGTTCGTATGAGTCTACGTGATTCTATTGGTACGAAGACAATAGTAGAAGCTCTTTTTAAAAATAACACTTTAACTTCTTTAGACATCGGAAATAATATCATCAACTTTGAAGGAGTAAAGGTATTAGCAGAGGTTCTTTGCCAAAATACTACTTTAACTTCCTTAGATGTTTCATTTAATCAACTCGGTTATGAGAAAGGGAAAATTATAGCAAAAGCTCTTTGTGTAAATACTACTTTGATTTCTTTATACATTGATGGTAATCAACTTGGTTCTGAAGGAGTAAAAGCGATAGCGGAAGCTCTTCATAAAAATGTCACCTTAACAACTTTATTTATCGGTGATAATAACGCAGGTTCTGAAGGTGGAATAGCACTAGCAGAGGCTCTTTGTAAAAACAAATCTTTAACTTATTTAGACATTAACGATAATGGTATTGATTTTGAGGGAGGAAAGGCATTAGCAGAGGCTCTTTGTATAAATAATACATTGACTTCATTAGATATTAGTTTTAACGAAATTGGTTTTAAAGGAGGAAAAGCGTTTGCAAAGGCTCTTCGCATAAATAATATTCTGAAATCCTTACATATCCGGGAAAATCAACTTGGTTGTAAAGGGGCAGAAGCATTAGCAAAAGCTCTTTGTAAAAATGTCACCTTAACTTCTTTAAATATTTACCATAATAAGATTAAATTTAAAGGAG